CACTCACTCACTCACTCACTCACTCACTCACTCACTCACTCACTCACTCACACACTCACACACTCAAACACTCAAACACACACACACACACTAAAACACACACTCTCACACACTCAAACACACACACACTCACACACACACACTCAAAGGCGATCAGAGGCACTGAGAGACTTACAGTCATCAATCCGCCCACCAGGTCGTTGGTGTGAGGATCTTCCTCTTTAGTACCGAACTGAGGAGAGTATAACTCTGTCGTCCGCAGGATCTCCAGCACACGGTCCAGCGCTTCGGCCACCGGCATCGGACTACTCTCCTGAGCCGCGTTGATGATGTTTATCACCTACACACACACACACACACATTTTCAGAATTAAAACATGAGCCCACACAACCACAATAACACACACACATACATGCCCCACTTTTTAACATGAGCCTGCAAAAACACACACACACACACTAATGTACCTTAGTGATGGGAGCTTCAATAGTCATGGAGTGGATTCTGGCCATAGACGAGTATCTCCTCTGAGAACTTCCTGCTAAACACAAGATCATCTGAAAACATCCTTCACTTCACATGCTCCTGAGCACAGGGTCAGAGGTCAAGGGTTAGTCAGGGAGAGTTTTATGGCTGTCAGACTGAGACATGTTTTATAAAGCTCATTTCTTTTATGAAGTTATATTTTTGGGGTATTTTATGCCTTTATTGTTGATTGGACAGTGGAGATACGAAAGGAAAGCATAGGGCAGAGAGAGAGATGGGAACGGGATCGGCAAAGGACCATGAGTCTGGATTCGAACTCGGGTCACCGGAAGCACAGCACAAACCACAAGCTATCACCGCCGACAAAGCTAATTTCTTTAAAAACCAATCCTAAATACAGTAAACTCACTAAAGATGAGCGGACAGATGTACATATGATGTGACGAGCCATTTGCACACCGAAGCAGTTACATGTTAAAGCTAAATCTGGACGCTCCGCTTTGGGAAGGGCTCTGAGTGAGGGGCGGGGTCAGCAGTGTCATCTCACCATCACTTCCTCTAGAGGTCGTCGAGCGAACGTCCAGCGATCCTTTCCTTCGGTCCTTATGCTTGCTGGACTGCTGAATATCTGACACACAATGACAACAACAACACATCAGCACACCTGAACACACACACACACACACACACATTTAAAGGCCTGTTAACAGACACACAGTGCCTGATTTTACTACAGGAGAGACGGAGACAGACATATTAACATGTGAACACACGATCAAACTAGAGTCACCTGACCCTCGGCCAGCAGGAAGCTGAATTACATTTCTTCAGAAATAAAAATAAACACGTTTGTTTTGAAATGAAGCTGAAATCAGTCATTTGATTTTCTAAAGGAACAGAGTAAAACTTTAAAGCAGAAAGACAGAAACGCTGCCTACCCTCCCTGTCCAACGACAGGCGTCATCTTCACATTCTGCTGCACACTGTCTCCGTTCTTCTTTTTGGCATAATAAACCCCCTGCCACTCCTGAAACACACACACACACACACACACACACGACAGAGGATCTAAACAGCATACAGAAGCAGGTCTCAGGTCTGACGGAGAATCAAAGTTCAACCCCTGTGTGATGAAAGTCCAGCGTCTGCGGCTTCAAACGCTCCTCCAGCTGAGTGTGTGTGTGTGAGTGAGTGAGTGAGTGTGTGTGTATGTGTGTGAGAGAGAGAGATCTGGGCACAAACCTTTTCACTACAGCCACAATCACAGTGTTGTGAGAGCAGCTGATGGCTCGAATTGAGCTGAGAAAAAAAATTAAATAAAATGAGGATTAGAAACAACAACAACACACACTTCAGCATTTCTGAGACACAAACCTGAAACACAATGAATGTACAAAAAACATTTACATTTTCAAGCAGGCCATGTGAACACTGCATACAGTGGGATTCCAGTGGACATAATTTCTTGTGGTTAAATTACACTTGAACTAATTATCGTTGAGAATGCGGTACATTGATACCCGAGAACGTACAGTACGAGCGGTCGAGAGTCAACTCTTCAACACTGAAGAGCTGTTCGGTTAAAGTGGAAGTAAAGCAGTCAGTCAAGTTTACATTATTTAGTAAACTGATTTCCACTGATTAAAATATATAACAAACACAATTAATGTAACCATTTTAAAGAAAAAAGGATGTTTTGTTATAGTGTTTGACCGCAGCATGTGACGTCACAGGGTTAGTTTGACGCTTCTCAACATTACAACTGATCCGATGGTTTTGAGTCACATTTAAACTTTGCACTTCAAATAAACCATTTATTTCACAGTGCATGCAGCTTCATTAGGATTGAAGGTCAATGTCTTGATCAGTTTCCAGACCCTTCACCCTCTCTGTTCCTCTGTGGTGGAATGAGCCCCAAACTACGACACGTACCGACAGAGCGCTTCAGCGTTGAAGTATCTGGAATGTCTGTGATCGATGATGATCAGATCGTGGTTCTTCTCCTCAAAGCTCTCCAGCGCCGCTTCTGGCGTTCGGGCCACATTACACCTGAAACCAGCGCGTTCACACGCCCAGCAGAAGCTGTGACTCTGAGCATCGTCTTTGGCAAACACTAACAGCACCTGCAACCCACACACACACACACACACACACACACACACACACACACACAGAGCCGTCATCAGTGTGAGACAGTGCTGGATAAAAACACATTCAGCCACAACAACAACTTCCATCAATAACAGGAACATAATACGAGCTGATTCACTGGAGTGGTTCAGAAGAATGAAACACTGTGTTTGTGTGGATGGACGGCTCGGACGCTCGGCGTGTGTTCTGAGGGAATGTGGGATCAGCTGGGAGGACAAAAACAGGAAGAGGAAATCACTGCTTCACTTTCCAACAGTAATTAAAGCTCTGCAACACAGGCACAACACCACAGCACGAACCTCAACACTTACTGCTAACCTCACGCTAACCCAACGCTAATACTAACCCAATGCTAATGCTAACCCAACATTAGCTATATTTCCATTAGGGGTGATCCGATTGATCGGCTACCGATCACTATCGGCCGATAATCGCTTTGGGATGATTGATCGGCGGTCTCTATAAAGAACGATCTCATAAACAGATCTCAAGCTGATGACGCTGCTGTGAGAGGTTTGGCATGACATGCAGCGGCACCATCTCAGTCTTCATATTTCTTTATTTAATGCGTGTTATTAAATAACTTTATTTATAACTTATAAAGTAATTTGTAAACCTTGTGTGAGGCGTACAAACAGCGTGAGTGAATCACCACACATCACTTCTGTCTATAAGCGAGCTGCACAGTTGACACAGGAATCGTCACTTGCACAATCGAGGCACTGTCACATCGTCACTAAAGTTGATAAATTGCATTACTTTTTAATTCTTGCCAGTGTTCGCGTGCTCTCCTGGAGACTGAGCTCATGCACACTCGCAGCGCACACACATAACGCCAGGTTCACATTACTCTGTTTGCAGTGCGAATGTGGTGTGTATTTCTCCGCGCTCATGTTAACGGATTAAAGCGTGCACACTGCACACAGTTACGGTCCGGCGGTGCGTTCAGGAGCGGTGCGTCTGCAGCAGAGCAGAGATCGTTTCCACACCGAGTCTATTGCTGCGCTGCAAGCACTGAATTAAAGTAACAGCGCATTGTTTGCAGTAAAAATTAACATGGATTGACACGAAAATGTAGTAATTACACCATAAATGCATATAATTAAAGTCTACTGTGTTTCACAGTCAACACATATGGCTTTTTAGCTAGGTTTAAAGGAAAAGAGCACTTTTAGACAAACAATAATAGATTGTATTACTGTACTGTGTAAAAAAAGAATTGCAATGCTGAAAAAGCATTTTCAGTGACAATGTTTGGATTTGAAATCAAACTAATGGGTAAATGTTGTGTTTGTGGTAAACAGCCGCGGATCAGTAGCGGATTCCTGTGTGAAAGCTGCTTCACAAGAGACACCTAAGAGGGGAATTACCCACATTTTCAAAAATGAAATTCAGGTCCTGAATTAATGTCTAAAAATCCTGGTTGGAGTATCACTATAAATAGTTATAAATGATAAAAAGAAGGCTTTAAAAAGATCGGTATCGGCAGATACTGCTTTCTGTGATCGGTCTCAAAAATCCTGATCGGAGCACCGCTAATTTCCACACTCCACAAAGTTTATGCACATTTTTAGAACTTAACGCACATCTTGGCATTTTCCATCCAGCATCTTTTTATGTGATATTCCAAAATGCATAGAAAAATAGGTGGATGGAAACGCAGATATTAATGCTAACCCAACGCTAATTCTAAACGAATACTAACGCCAACACAAATGCTAACACGAACCTAGGGCTAATGCTAACCCAGCACTAACACCAACCCAACATTAATGCTAAACGAACACTAATACTAACTCAACGCTATTGCTAAATTAACACTAAGCCAGAGGTGTTTTAACTACATTGTTCTGGAGTTCACTGGCTCATAGAGTATGGCTGTGAATGAAGTGAACTGTGAGTCACTGAGTTTGGGATTTTAGGGCACTGTGTGACGCCGCCTGTCAAACCCCAGACTCTGTGCTCCTGAGTTTCTACACATTACAGGCCTTTCGAATCATTCTGACGCGTCTGTTGAAGGATTCACGGAGCGATAATTCACATCTTCTCATGGGAGCTCCAGAAACCTCAGGATACAGGAGTCAGGTCAGATTCACTCAACCTTCCTAAATTTAGCTTGAAGAATTAATGAGCGATAATGAAACTCCCAATATAGAACACAGACTCATGCACACACACACACACACACACACACACTTATATAGACTCATGCACATACACACGCGCGCACACTCACACTCTCTCATACACACACACACAAACACACACTCATACATACACACACACAAACACACACTCATACACACACACACACACACACACTCACACTCACACTCACACACTCACACACAAACACTCACACTCACACACTCACACACTCACACACAAACACACACTCATACACACACTCATACACACACTCATACACACACTCATACACACACTCATACACACCATAATGAGCAAGAAGCCTGATATTCTGCATGTTCTCACTCACTGTTTAGTGGAGTTACTACAGAAACCCTTCTAAACATAGTGTATAAACACGGAGTATGAGTGCGGAAGAGCCGGTACCTGCAGCTGATCTTCATAGAGCTTCATTGGTCCAAACTGCACCTCCGTTAACGTGCTCTGAAACGACAGTCAAGAACAAACACACTCAGTGATCCGACTCCACATGATCTGTGGATCACAGAAATGATGAATGCAGCACATGATTCTAGCATCCTCTCTGATGATGCTCGGTTACCATGGAGACCATCCCTCCACGGGACAGCATCCCAAAACAGACAACATGAGAAGGAAATGGAAACACACAAACACACACACACAAACACACACACACTAGACTTGTGCCGGTATTCGGTAATGCGATATAACACGGTAATGAATATGCACGATATTGTTATCGTGGGCACTTCTAAATACCGTGAATAATTATATATTACAAATTATTTAGAATTTTGAATGCATTATAAGAATACTTTTCCCATCAACTACTCACACTCACACACACTCAGCGAGCACAGTTTGTCTCACACTCACACACACTCAGCGAGCACAGTCTGTCTCACACTCAGCGAGCAGTCTGTCTGTAGAGACGGGTCGGCGCAGACAAACCTGGCTCTCCCGTGGAGAGAGACTCTGCTCCCACTGCAGTCTGGGAGAGATAGAGACAGAGCTGCACTTCCTCACAGAATGCCCCAAATACCTAACCATCAGAAACCACTATTACCCTAAAATTCATCAAATATTTACCCAATTAAACATTTGTAGCCCAACTGAAAAACTTTGTTTCATTCTCAGCGAAAAAGCCAAATGTGCAAATATTGCTGCAAAATGTATAGCATCGTGCTATGACCTGAGACAAACACAATCCAGAAACACACAGCCAATAGACACACTCTCACAGGCCAAAACTGAAATACTGTTACTCATGTACATAATGTTACATTTCTCAGTCCAGCAGTTGCTACAGGAAAATCGTTATTATTATTTTTTAATTAATTAATACATTTATTTTTCATATATGTATCTATGGGTATATATGACATTTCCATATTAGTTTGAGAGCAGTGATGAAGGTCCTCCTCCTCCTCATTCAGTGAACGCTCTGTTCTCTGCAGGTATTTTTGTCCTGATCCAGATTAGCACTCAATCCTGCTAGAGCCGAGCCGCTCTCAGCTCCACTG